CCAGCAATGGGAATCTATGAGAATCCGCAGAAATGAGCCAGGGATAAGTATTTCTGTGACCAGGACAGCTCCAGACGTCAATCCGGAGCCAAGAAATGCCTCACCTCCTTGTTCCTGTGCCGTTTTACCTGGGGCCCCAGCCCTCCTCACCCCCTTCCCAGGAGGCTGTCAGCTGCCACACACAGCCCCCAGCTGTGGGAGGGGGAAGAGAATGCTTACCGTTGGACACCTTTAATTTCTGCTCAAATGCTGAGTATTTGGGGATTAAAGGTTCATAGAACTGTGATTTATATAAAACCAAGCAGAAAAGTCTTAGGGCCTGCTTAAGTTTTCTCTCGAAGTCAGAGAAATATTAATATTACCCCCATTGAAAAATTTTAAAGGGAGGTGGGCACGAGAAGAAGATGTGTTTTCATTACGCTGCAAATCATACTAGCTTAATAGCTACACCAAAATAAGTAATAGTGGTTACTTACAATGGCTACTTCGGTTACACCAAAATAAGTTATAATGCAACTACATGTTTGAAAAGTTGTGAGCAGTTCTACTTGCAATGTTGACACAACAATAAAACAGACATATTTCTTGCAGCCACCCTAATATTGTCCACGATGCTGTCCTCTCAGGTCAAAGGTGATTCTAATGTGATTCTCTGGCAACCTTATTCATTCAGACGTTCGCAGTTTTATTAAGTAAAACAATGACAAATACTTAATAGTGAGTCTTTCCATTTTGAATATTATATTATAAACAGAGAACCAGCATCACAAAATGGAAAAGGATGTCTTCAAATAGACAAAATGAACCATGCAAAAGTGGAAGTATTAAGAAAAATCTATACAGAATCCTCTTGATCCCACAAGGCTTGTTTGTGTGGTACGGCTCTGAAGCACAGTGGCTACACCCTGGAAAGAGACCTATTCTGAACTATAGAAATAAAAGAGTTGACAATCCCCTATTTCTTTATATCTGCTGTAAGCAGGCAGAGAGGTGATTGAGCTCACTTGGGAAACCACAGATGCTGCTATTTCCTTACCAAACATGATAACAGCATAGAAGAGACCCTGGTAGCCGGCACAATGGTTCTTAAGAAGAATGAGCAGAGCACGGCTTTTGGTCTGAGTGGAATGAATGGAACACCTGAGGAAGACGATGACTCTTTGGGGAGAACGGCTGTCCCCGTGGGGAGAGACTGGACGACACACTTTGGATTCACTGGGGGGGACACTGGCCAGCAAAGAGAACGGGATTGAAGGTCCCAGTTCTGATGCCCATCAGCGGTGGCCAATGTTCTACATGCGAAGCTATAGGAATCTATACATGGCATTTCCAAACGGTTAAACAAGAACTGTGTTTATACCCACAGTGGTCACTGGCTGTCAGTTGACAATTCTCAGAGGTGTTGAGGCCAAACGATACTAAAAAGTCAGCTCAAACTTTATCAGTTTTTCTTTAGCAATGATTTGATGTCATTTAAAAATCATATTTTAATTATTAAATATTATCAATGTAATGTGAACTGATGGCAGGTTATGAACAAATTAAAAGGGTCTTCCATAGACCTATTGTCCAGACAGGTTCAGCTTCATGCTTTTGAAAACACTAGGAAAAACAGACTGAAATCACTCAAAATAGGAGTTGCCCAGTCCACAGACCTTCTTGAATTAGATGGGCTTCTATCTTTCAAGTTTATTGACTCTGAATTAACATCCACACTTGTTAGGTGGAGATGCTTATTCACAGCCATGAAGAGGAAGCCCCCTTTAGCCACACCCCCGTTGGCCTCTGGAAGAGTGACCTACTGCCCTGGCGCCTGCAAGGAGACCTGACGAGGAGGGCTCAGGGCTGTCTTCCTGGGCTCCGTGGCCACCTCAGGTTTCCTGGGATCCGGGAGGCGAGGCAGTCTACATCTGCATTCAGCAGTCAGAAGCAACTTGCTCGCAGTATAAGCTGCATCCTCTAGTGTCTGCCTTGTCACTTGTCAATGGCTACTTTGATTGCCATATGCCTTACCTCATTGTCTTACTTCTCAATAGATTAAGAGTCAGAGTTGAAAATGTGTGCAATTAGGCAATACCTCCCAAGAGACCATGACAGCTAGCACCCGGCAAACTTGAGCACAGGAGTATCTGTGGTGGCAGGAAAGTAACAGCAGTAAACTGTAGGTGAGGACTCTATAAGGAGACGTGCAGAGAGTGCCACTGTCGGAGGCGGACAAGATGCCAGCTTGTGGGAGACCGGGATGAAGTGGAAAGAGTGCAATTGTGCTTGCGTTACAACAGAGTGAAGAATGAATTCTATAGTGACGGCATTCTCATACAAAGTTAAGTGATATACAGTATCATTTATTTTAGAAGTCATGAATTCAGTTTAGAAAGAGAAATGCCTCAGAAAATGGTTAAAGTACTAAACCTCTGTTGTTTACATGGATTTCTCAAAAGAAAAAAAAGAAAAGAAACCAGCATTGAAAGGGGAATTGAGGATGCAGGCTATGGTCACCCTTGCGAACTGTGTTTCACATTTTCCTAAAGCCATTGTTTCAAGAATAAAATGTGTCATTTTTAGCTATTTAACAGGATTTCTTCCCAAGGTAATTGATATGCACACATTTTGTGAGCAACAAACTTTTAAGCAAATAAAAGGCATTATATTATTCTATTATTGTTGTTGGTTTGTTGTTATTATTAGCATTCTTATTCTTATTCTTTTTTACCTGTTTGGACCAAATCATTTTCAACTAAGCCTAATGAATAAAGTTTTAGTGTGCTTCAACTTTCGAAGATCCCTGACCACTAAGTGTGGCCCTTAGTGGCCCCCCATCTGCAGGGTCCGGGCCAGACAACTGCACAGAGTCACAGCCGCAGGCACCTTCCCGGGGGACGTCCACACGCTAACCTTAAAGACTCGATTTTGACCAGTAAACACAGCAAATGCTTTTGCTTGTCTTAATTAAGTAATCATCATTTTCGCCTGCACTGTACCCCAGAGTTTTCATTTAGAGGCAAACTTATTTGGATCTAGGTAGAGAAAAAAGAATTACTTTAAATATATTACATTATTAATATTGTACATATTTTACTGTAATCCAGGAAATGAATCCATCATTTCGAGAGTAGATATTTTATCTGCCTCTGTTTCACTTGTTTTCCCTTTATAACTTGTTAGAATAATTCTTATTTATATTAATTCTCTCTTGCAAAATTTACAAAAAATACATTTAGTGTGAAAAATGTGTCTATGTACTTTCCAACTTTAACCTAGATATATTATTTTTTCTATAATCTTTTTTTGACATGATTACAAAATTTCAAAAAAATTGGGGAATGGTAAACAACAAAACTTTTCTAAAGTTAACCAAATTTTTGAGACCTTTCTGTGACTTGGGAAATAAGTCTATAAATCTGCAAAAACTTAAGCTTTCCACGAATCTCAATGAGTTAGAAATACTGCAGGTATAAACTTTGCTTACATTATTTGGGGCTTTAAATTAAGATTTGGGTGACCTCTAGTAGAGACAGAAACAATGAGAGTTAGGACTCAAACTAGAATACTGTGTCATAGAAGTTAAACTTATGATACATTAACTCATTTCTAATTCTCCATTAATCATTGTCCTCATTGATTTAGTAAAAAAAATTTAAAAGACAAGACCACCCACATAAATTTACATGTTGACACAGTGGCAATATTCCCACTGAAAGGGACATAATATGTTTTCTATGATTTATGTTTATAATTCTTCTTCATGTGTGTGTGTATAGTCAAAAATTTAGATCATATGCATTTCTAATTAAAAAAATTTAAGGCTCCTTAAGATTTAAATGTCAAATAAAAATTTTCTATAGACAGCAGGATTTATATATTAATTTTTTTCAAAGTCATCTTTGGAAGAGCTGTCAATAATTTTATATATGGTTAATTTGGGTAGACTTAGCATATCAGTATCATTCAATGAATAATCTTCATACTTAGAAATCACAACTTGACTGATAACAAGGAATAATAGCAAAATCAAGAGGCCTCACCATGCTAAATACTAAGGCATCTCTTCTGAGATACAGATTATACCATAGCCACCCTCAAATCACAGATTTTATACTGAATATGCTGATCAATGTTAAATGGGATTTTATATGTGTACATTTTAATAAAAATTTTAGTATCCCTCGTCTTTGAAATCTTCCCAGATGTCTATATTTATTTAAGAACTTTCCCATAAGTACATATTAATGCTAATGCTTCCAAGAAACCTCTAAAGGCATCAACTTTCAGGAATTTGGTGAAAAAGTCTACATGGACAACAAAGAAATTCTCAGAAGATTTCTTTCAAAGATAAGCAGACATGTGAAGACTTCGGGATGCAATTTTGCTTCCAATTGTCTGCTCAAGGTCATCATTAGGGACAAAAAAATAACAATTTCCCACTGATAAAATGTCATGGAGATCTATAATTTTTAGATGATCAAATGGCCCCGAAAAGCCACTGTTGGAGATGATTTAGGGTATGAGCCACAATGATTACCATAGAGACCCTTTGTCAAATAATCCACAAAACAAATGAAGGAGCAAGAGGAAGAATTATTGATCGGAAACACATCCTGGAATCTGTTCTGGGAGAGATGCGAGCTACTCAACAAACTCAAGTGCTTCAGATCTTCCCAGACTGTCTTATTCCTAGATTTACAAAATGCTTGTTGGTGCACAAAATGCCAGACATACCTCAGTCCAGAGAGAATGCATTTACATATCTATGCCTGAGAGATGATTTGATTAATTCAGCAGAGTGGGTGGGTGGGTGAGTGTCTAGTGGAGAGGGCTTCAATCCCAAAAGAATCATCAATAAAACCCTTCAAGTAAAATTACCTTGTTAAAATGAAACGTATTAATGAAGTTTAACTTATGGGTCACACTGTATCATGAAGCAACTATAAGATTCAGGCCTTTGAGTTGTCTATGACAGTAATAACCACACGTAAGGATGGGCATCCATCAACTCCTACCTTCTGTGTTCGTCTTGACTGTGAAGACAACAATTCATGGTATTCACCAAAAAGCTAAACAAACGACTGTACAGGGACTTGGCCAAGAGATCTCGGTAAAATTCAGCAATCTGCATAGTATGCCGTTGTATTATCATATCTCCTAAAATAGTAGAAAGAAGAGGAAGCATAAGAAAAAGGGTTTCCCTCACTCAGGAGCCAACAAAACTAGGCATACCCTATTTATTCCCCACACATCCAAATACAGCAAAGGATGTTAAAACATTGTACTACGACTCCCATAAATGAGAAGGTCTCTGTCAGTTATTATGTAAAATGTTTCCCTAAAATCAATGTCATATACATTGCAACATTATTTCTTACAAATGATGACCAGAGCTCTTGACCTTTACGAAGACTGAGCAATTTTGTCTCAGTTAAGAAACCAGCTTTTCACAGGGCCCCTCTTGGCAAGTTCTCTGATAACAACTCACTGGTTTAGATACTAAATCGTCCTAAGGCATTTGGAAACTTGGTCATCTGGAAAATTACTCACATTTTAAATATTTTCAAAGAAATGATTTAGTCAACCAAAATGTGGGTCTGGAATTCAGAAATAGGATTGAGTCGTAATGTAGAAATTTTGGTCATTCTCGAAGAGAGAGTGATTGAACTCTTCAGTGATAAGGTTTTTAGAAGGGAATAGAATAGAGAAGGGACTAAGAAAAAAAATGAGTGAGGATAGTTTGGAATGGAGCCTATCACTCAGTCTTGCTGGAGAGTTGAGAGTGAATGGGAGTCTAGGATTCACATGCTATGGCCTTGGCCAAACTGACTAACCATAGCCTTTCAGGCTGAGCAGGGAGTCAGTCACGAGAAATGAGGGTTAAATGGTTTTCAGTCAGTTGGAGGTATAGGTAAGGAAGGAGAATTGCTGCTGAGATTGGCTGAGATTTAAAAAAAAAAGAAAGAAAACACAGCAGGTAATGTAGTCGGAGAGCTACAAGGTCAAGGCCATTGAGATGGAACAGCACACAGCTGCGGGGAAAACAGGTGTGGCCATTTACGACTGCAGAATTGAGGCCCCTAAAGTCAACATGACTGAGGCGTTCTCATGGGTCACCAACATGTTAAATTATAGATACAAATAGATACTAATGGTGAGTTCAAATTTTCTGAAAAAAAAAAAAAAAGAAAAGGCATAAAAAACAATTACGTATTTGGAGAACTTCAGGACTCTTAACGTGGTTGAATGCAGGGTTGCTGTTGGAGAAATGACTAAGGAGGAAGCACAAAAATTAGATATGGCCCGAATAAAAATAAAAAAGGCCCTTATGCCTTCCTAAAGTAATGGGCTTTCCACTAAAGAAGGAAAAGTTGGAAGACTGTTAGCCACAAAGGAAAATCATGTTTGCATTTCAGAAAGATTATTTTTGAAGCAGGGTGGAAGGAGAGAAGTGATAAGGACAGATAGTAGATTAACCAGGAGGCTTTTGCCATAATCCAGGAAGGAATGAGAAATCCAGCAGTGTCCATGGAAATTAAGGGAAGGTGGTAAGAATGACAGATATTTATGGGGTTGAATGGCTTGTGTTTGACCTGCTCAATGGAGGAAAAGAAAGAGGTATCAAGGCAGCTGAGTGGATAAGAGAGGAGATTCACTAAGTTCAGGAGCATGGAAGGGGAATTCTGAGAGTAGGGGTGAGGCAGAAATCATACCCCACCTACCTAAATGCCTGCAAGTACATCCAATAGAGACATCAGGGAAGAATAGCGGCAATTAAGAGAAAAAACATCAAATGTATGATGAGTCCTTACAATTAACAATAAAGAATAAGGTTGCAAGGCCACGATTTATAATGAATAATTAAGATCACGCGGGAAAACCACTCCCCTTGTTCGCTGAGCAGAGATGCATGTAGCACAGAGATGAAGCATGTTGTCTGAGAGCCACACAGCATTGAGTGCTACTCCCAAACCTGCTCTCTACCAGTAATGGGGCAGTCAAAGTCATTGAAACTCTTTGAATCTTAGTTTTCTCATCTGTTAAAATGGAAATGGTTATGTCCACCTTATAGAGATTTGTAAGAATTCAAAAACTTCAACATTTATAGCACTCGGAACAAGTCCCGTGAGTTCGCACATGCCCAATAAATGACAGCTCTTGTTATGAGCCATGGGGTAAAGGGAAAGGTTGGTTCTTTCCCTGCACAGGCCAATGGATCCAACATTTCATCTGAATAAACCCTGTCAAATTGATGGCTTTGTTTCTAAAATGACAGATTAGTTAGAGAGGGTGACCAGTTATGCAAAATGGTCTCTCAAGAAGCATAGAATTTACAACATAGAGTCATATCAAGTAATCAAATGGATTCATAACATTTTTCTCATTTGGCATTCCATTCATAGAAATAGTTTCACTAAGTGGGGACAGGCAACATTATATTGAATTTCCATATTTGATTCCAAATTACACAAAGATGAAAGTCAGAGTATCGAAAAATTTACCTTTAAAATATTGAACATCAGTTGTTAAGGCAGAAGCCAATTCATCTGTTGATACTTGTAACATTCCAGCCACTAAAATTAAAGCAGCATTATAAACATAAAGTTAGTATACATTGTTGATAATAAGAACATTGCATTTATGGGCATCATTTATAAATTTCATGTATACACATTAGGAAATATGTGTATTAAAGAACTACCACTGTCATTGTCAAATTCAAATTAGAGAAACATCTTAGAGTGATCAAAACATTAATGAGTTCTCGAGGTTCTGTGCATTAAATCACAGCAGGTTTGTTTCCTCCTTGTCCTCACAGATGGCATGGAATTACTATTATTATTTGTTTTTTTTTTTTTTGAAAATTCCTGGTTAAATCACTTTGATATAGATAAAGATAGGTTTTTTTATTGACAATCTGTGGTTTTAAGGTATTTTGAAAAAATTGGGGGGTGACTAACAAGGAAACTTCAAAGAGAGAGATTTTTGGCAAGATCTTTGAAAGGAAGTAGTTATGTTGTGTTTAAAATGTTTGGCTAATAACATGCCTCCCAAATGTACTGGGTACTGGGGGTGGGGTGGAGAATGCCTAGAATAATATAAATAAGCACAAATATTGCTGAAGAATCAATGTTGCTAATGTGGGTAGAGAATGGGAACATAAAAGTACATCTTGTTACTCATTCCCATAACCATTTATAAGAAAGAACAAAGTGAACGTTTTTTTTCCCCCTCATGGAATTCTGCTCCAGGAAAGCGGCTATGCCAACTGTCTTTTCTGTACTGTGTCTCCATCTATTGGCAGATCTGTAAAATTGCATCTCAGAGAGGCTAATGTCAGAAGGTCGTGTTCCACTGACCTTGTTCTAGAAGCTGGAGGTCAGAAACGAATGCAGAGTCGGTGTCAGTCAGGGCAGTAAAGCTAATGTCGCCAATGTGTAATATTGCTGCCAGAATTACAAACAGGTTCTCCACTTCCTATGTGTTTTACAAAGAGAGAAAATGAATGGGATGTTTACGAGAAAGATTAAAAGACAAATCCTTTAAAAACCCAAAAAGTAGGTTATGAAAATGATGTATTTCCTATTAGTGGGGTTATGACTTTTCAGATCCTAAATGTTTAATAAGACAACTACTAATCTCTGCCTCAAAAATCAAAAACTCATAATTCATTGCAATGTCCTTTAAATCAACATTTTTGTTTCTTAAACATGAGAATAAAGAAGTGAAATTTTCGTATAAATTAACAGCTTCCAGATAACTATCATAACAAAAATGAATAATTGTTTAATGAAGGTCTGACCGGCTGGATGTCACTTGTAAAGTCAGACTTCACTCTGTCTTCTCAGAGCTGCAAAGGGAAGTTGATTGGACTTCGCAGTTGCTGAGGCTGAATCATTCAAGAACCTGTATTATAGGGTCCATGTCTTAGTTCTTGCTCTTACGAGATAAACCGATATGATGATTACAGAATTTTTCACTTCTGCTGGAAAACTAAAGGAGGCATAACGAAAACAACTTTGCCTAGATAACAAAACGCTAATTGTTTTTTAAAGTATTTTAAGGAAAACGTAGAAAAAAATTGACTTGGCAAGAGTTATCTTTGAGCAGAAGGTAGCAGGAAGTAGAGAATGTTTGCTGAAGGAGACTATCTGAGAATTTGGAACTCTAGATAAAAAAAAATAAATTAGACCTTAGAATTGGTTTTGGACAGTGATTTTTTGGGCAAAAAATGAAAAATCAAGAAAAAGCTGTAAATTGAACTATGCCTCTCTAAAATACCGAATATTTACATGATGATATTAGTAGGAAAACTGATTGAGCTCCTTAAAGGGCCAGTGGCATGGCCTTTTAAATTATCAGTGTCCTAACTTATAATTTGGAAATTAAAATGCTTCTTCCATAACTATTCGGGAAGTTGTTCTAAGGACAACTTTTACTTGCTTTATAAGTATACAATTGAAAGAATATAGTTCTTGGGGCTTCCATGAATTTCCTCCAGAACTTCTTGTTTTCATAAATGTATGATTTTATCATTTTTAAAATGAGAGCATTGGCAAGAATGATTTCTAAGTAATTTCCAGGTATGATGATATTCTATGAATGTGGCATACTAAAAAACATTTCTGGGCACCCCTAAATTATAAATCAGGGTTTCAAATTTAATTCATTGATGCTTTATAAAATAACATTTTCCTAGCCTCTTAAAGTACTTGATCACTTATTTCTTTCCTTTTTAATAAATCCAGTAACTCTTCATGAAATGTTCTGGTGCCCTGTAAGATACGCACTTCAGGGTATACAGACGAGAAGAATGTGCACTGTCCTCAGGGACCTTCCAGTGCAGGCTACAGCGGTGGGATGTACACCTGGGCTATAGCAGCTCAGGTGAAGGCACTGCTGTGAGCAGACCCCTTAGGCCCACAGCTGATGCTAGGGCCTCACCAGCCCAGAACTGCCTGCCTTCAAATCTTAGTGGACATAATCTATGCCTCCAAAGTGGACTAAATTGCCACCATTCAGGTCACTCCAAAGGGTCAAGATGAAGGGATTAGTTTCATGTGTTGTTGTCAGTATTTACATATTTCCTTTATTAGGTTATTGGACTCTCTATTTGCTTCCTTAGCCAGCAGGATTATTTTGCTTGCCCCGCCTCTGAGGCCCAATCATGGACTTTCAAAGCCCTATTTCCAAGCAGCTGATATTTTGGTAGAATGGTACCCTACCCTCATCTCTGTCCCCATTTCCTGTAAGGAAGCAGAAATGTCAGGTGTGGAGGAAGGGAAAAAATAAAAATGAAAAACTACAATGGCGGTAAGTGCAAAGACAGTGCAAGTGGAGAGTAACAGCTGGAAATGGATCAAGTAATCAGAGCAGAAAAGAACACGACACCATAGATTGTACAATCCTGGAATTCCAACCTCTGATAGAGGGCAGGTGGGGGGAAGCAAAGTGCCCCCGAGTTGACTTATTTAGGGTGCATCCCACTTCTAGCCCACCCCTGTGTCGACCTTCCCACGGCTTCCCGCCCCGCAGCTGCCCCCTTCCCACAGCTGTGTGTCAGGGAAAAAACAAAGACCCAAATCAATCAACTGGTCTCAGAAAAGTACGAGGAAGGCATTTTAATCTGCGACTAAATCTGGATTTGTGAACTGCTGGCACACGAGAGTTACTCCCGGTATATTAATTATGCATGAGGACTTGGCCCTCATCCAGAACGGGGTACCACACTGAACCGGGGGGCGCTGTCCAGGACATGGTGGGGGGAGCTCTGAGAGGTCTCTCTCAGGGCTTTCTCATCCACCAGATCAGTGCTGCTGAATTCAGTAACCACCAACTAGTGATGGCTATTTAGATTTACATTAATTAAGATAAAGAAATAATAGAAATTTACTTCTTCAGCCTCACCACTGGCAGGTATTTGATAATTCTTTGATAATTCTTTAAGAGTTAGGAATTGTCTATTTTTCACAAAGACACTTTAATACAGTCAATATTCTAATACTCAAGTGATTTTTTTTTAACAGTAAACAGTTATTTCAGATTTATCAGTTTTCCCATGGGCTGGCCAATATAAAGTTATTTGATATGTTTTGGAGATGTGTGTGTGTGTGTGTGTGTGTGTGTGTTTGTATAGTATTTATAAATATTGCTTTGGGCAAAGGGCTCCTTGACCACCCTCTTGGAAACAACACCCCACTCTTCCTGTCTTTCTCGGCTTATCCTTCCTTTCTGTCTTCACAGCACCCCTCGTCCTCAGCACGTGGCTTGTTTCTGTCTACCTCTCCACTGGCATGTAAACTCTAGCATGGAGGGATTGAGCTTATTCTCTGTTGAATCACCAGTGTCTACAGAAACATCTGGAATATAATAGAGTCTCAGTAAATGAATGAACAACTTTTATAAATTAGTAGAAGGTTGGTTTGCTCAGTGAAATATTTATAATGTGACTCACCAAATTGCTGAAGCCAACTACATTCAAGGCTTGTTTCAAAACAGCTAACTTCTCCCTGTTCAGAGAATGCTCTGATGTTAATATATCTTCCCGTATGGTCTGGTTCAAATACCTGTGAGGATTAAAAGCACATAACATTATGGCTTGGCTTGTCGTCAAACGTCAGTGGATAAAAGTCACTTCGGCCATATTTGGTCTCCACAATGATGGAAATCACCTGGACACTGTGTACCCATGTGTTTACAAAGCTTTGGGTACATAATAGCACATGATGTTTCAGGAAAAGAAGAAAAAATAGCTCTTGTTGTACCAGAACACATTTACATATTTACGTGGCTCTCACCTTGGCTTCACCCTTCCCTGTGAAAGCAGAAGGTCACAGCGTTTTATGTATTTCTTATAGAAACTTGGCAGGTTGTATCATATGCTTTGTAATTAATATTTACATTAAAGATGCTTCACTTACAGTAATTTATTATCTCTTCTCGTCAGTATCATTTAATTATGAGGTGGTTGATTAAATCATTGATTTATTCCTTTCATTCAACAAACACGTATGAATCACCTCCCAGAGACAGGCAGTGCTGAGCTGCTGAGAACATAAAAAAAGAGCCCATCCTTGGAACCTTAACACAACAACAACAAAATAACATATTCCGGGGCAGAGGCAAGAGAAAAGACAGCTCAATGCAGTGTGAAAGTAGAACAACAGCAATAAACTCAAAATGTCTGTGAGTGTGTAGGAAGGGGACCTCCCCCAGAAGTGGAGGGTGAGGAAAAGCTGGGGGCGGGAACAGACTTTGGTTCTAAGAGTTGGCACCTAAGAATATGCCAACCAAATACTAGGATTTCAGGCTGTCCCTGGAATAATCAGCAACCCATACAAAAGCACATGGAATAGGTCAAGCATGATACATATGGGGGACATATATGTCAGCAAAGCTGGAGCCCAAAGTGAGATGAGCAAAGATCTGTGAAGTTGGAAAACGCAGCCAGAGTTTTGTGTGTCTTGCAAAAGAGTTTCAATCATGTCTTGGAAGTACTGGGCAGCCCTCAAGGCCTTGAAACAAAGAAGTGGCAAAATCAGGTTGGCATTTCAGAAAGAATATCCTGGTACCCACTGGAAGATCACCTGAAAAGAGAGAAGGCAACTAAGGATAGCAGGTGATCAGTGAGAGGCCAGCCGCGGGGAAGAAGAGGATGTGAGGGAGAGGGAGGAAGGGAGAAGGCAGCACTGGCGAGACGAGGGGACACATGGGCACAGGGAAGAGGACAGAGGGAGCTCATGATGCCTTTCAAGTTTCTGTCTGCAGAAACGGAGTGTTGTGGGCCCATCAACCAGAGGGCATTCTCAAGAGGAGTATGTTTTTAGAGAGAAAAAGTCTTATCTTTTATATTATGTTAATTTAAACTATTTGTTAAAGTTCAAGTGAAGTTCCGAGAAATAATAGCTACAAGGATCTGGAATTCAGAAAAGACCAGAACATATGATCTAGCAGTCATCAACATGCACAGTACAGACACCAGGTTGAGCGGATGAGCTCACAGCAAATGAGACTCTAACATTTTAAGGCTGGAGAAAGAATTGAGTGTCCAGGAAGGGAGTAGGAATGTTAAGAGAAATCAATCATTAAAACAAAAGGCTAGTGTATTTTTAAGACTGATGCCATGTCCTTGACGGGTGAGCGTTCGCTAGAGCTGCGTGGAGAAGCTGACTGCAGGTGGGAGGGTTTGCCGGGCTGCGTGAGGACTTCGCCCTCCAGACTCTTGGATGCAAGAGCAGAAAGGAACAGCCTAGCGTCTGGGGAGGGGAGTGGGAGAGACTCCAGAATGTGTATATGCCGAGAGAGCAGCGGCTAAACACTGGATACACGTTGGGAGGGATACTGAAGAAGGGGTTGCTGGGCAGGAAGAGCATATGGAGTCAGAGCGCAGGGAGGGTCTGCCTCCCACAGCAGGAAGGACATTGCTCTCCGCGACAAGTGCCAGGTAAGACAAGAAATGCGGCTCCGAAGGCTGGTGCCCTCTCAGGGGCATAGAGGAGCCACTGCTCCGTCCGTGGCTGTGGTTTTTCTAGAAGAGAAAGAGGTTGAGGTTTCCATGATGGGGTGAAGCTGGCTTGAGGAAGGTCGTAGGGTAGCTGGCGCTGTGCAGTGCCTGGGCGGGGCTGGGGCCCAGCACGGGGTGTCACTCTCTCCAGGGCTCCTCTGACGCCTGATGTGGGGTGAGCAAACTGGGGTTTGGGGTAGTGGAGTAAAAGGAAAAGGCCAAGGGTGACAATATCAGTAAGAGATGGGTTTGTCATAGTCAGAGTCCCTCTGCTTACTATTTACACAATGCTAGTGACTAAAAGGCTTCGTGATGAGAATTTGTAACCGCTCTGGGTACTTCTGGTTCTCACAGCAGGTTTCATGCGTCTTCCTGACGTCATCTCTTCTCTCCCACTGACTTGATCATTACATAAGTTAATAATCCTTTGAAAGGGGCCATTTGTAGTCTTGCGAAGAACAGCTAATTCCTCCCTTCATTACAGAATCAAATATGCAAAAGGCCAATGTTTCTTTTAAAATGTTTGTGAAGTAATCAGTTAGTAAGCTCCCCACGGCCACCTCAAGCATTTCTTTAAAACACCCCATTTCCACATTTTATGTGACTTTATAGCCCAAAATTTACAGCAGCCATGACCTGCTCCACGAGGGACGTGAATACGAAACAACATTTCTATTTCAGTTAAGTTCTGGGTAGAAGAAGCCATAGGAAGTATTCCTGGTAGTTTCAGACAAGTGTGTGAAGTGTTTAATAGATCAGGAGGGAACCAATTCAAAACAGACAATTTTGAAGGGAAGTTTGCCTGATAGCAAGAAAGATGTCTTCAGACTGTGAGCATTTTCCTCTATAGCCAGAAAACTTGTCAGCATGAAGATGATAAAAAAAAATAGAACACAGTGTATTTTAATTTAAATTTCTCCCACTAGTCAATAGCATCTAGGATGATTTCACTAGAAATACAGTTCTTTGTTATCAACAAAACTATGTCTTCAAATGAGAAGGTTAAGAACAGAACAAGAAACATTACATGTATACTCTTTGAAGATTACAAGTACTAATTTTCCCTCTGACATTATTCAATCTTGAAAGCTCACACAAGGGCAGAGAAATACTTGAAAAATATGCCTGATAAAATATTGAAACCAAGAATCCGCAGAAGTAGATTAGAGTACTATTTGACTCTTTCTTAAAAATGAACAAACCGAAAAAGATAGAAACAAATAAAGCCATTTAAACCTTCATTTTATTATCTCTAAAATAGAGTAAAAAAATTCCCCATTCTAGTTCACAGTAATTTTTTGAGTGTCAAATGAGATATTGCGTGTAATGTGCTTTCTGCACAGACTGCAATGAGCATATAGAACATGAGTATTTCCTGGAAAGACTGTATCTTGCACATGTGAGTGATTTTTAGGCAATGTGCTCTATCATTAATGACACTCTTAATCCATTACAAACTAAGCCAAATAAAATAAAGAAGCATTTTGAGAAATTATAACAAATGCTATTAGCAATGAAGACTATTTTAAATCATAAAATACGCTTTTCTGCTCTTCTCAGACAGATAAAAGTAATAAATACATAAAAGGAAAAGATCACAGTTTACACTTGACTGTTTTATCCCAACACAAATCAACTGGAAGTTGACAATTGTATATATAATATAACAATGGTGTTTCCAGATTAATTTTAACCCTTTAAAATAGGTAAGAAATGACAGTGCGGAAATGGGTCATGGACTTCCCTCTGGACTAGCTTTAATTTCAAAGATGGTCTCTCACTAATCTCCACATAGTGGTTGAAAACCACCCTAGATAAATCTAAGCAAGTGCTTTATCTAACTGAGACAACTTTGTTATTTTTAAGTGAACTTTTTTCACTTAATAAACAATAATCCCATGACCCCCAGCATTAAATCTTAGACCTCAATAGTCAATGTTTTCTATATAATTTCTTTTATGAATTAAAATCACATACCCAGAGCTTAAATCTGTTTTCTGAATCGTCTCCTTTTACCTCATACGTCACTTGGAACAGTACTATCTGGCAACATATAGATATCTCAATGGCCAGAGTCAGAGGTTTCAGAGATAGTCACTCATTAAGAGTCACTGCTATTTTGATTTTAAAAGATTGGCAGATCAAGGGAATACTCTAGATGCTGCTTCTATGAGGGGGTAAAAGACTGCACATGTGGGTGGTACACTGAAAGAAACTGCAGACAGGTTAGTGCTATTGAGTCTACTCAAAGGGAAAGGTAATGGGGGCTAATATTTGGTGATATTTATGGGCCAAATCCTCCACTGGCTGTTTCAGAGGCATTTCCTCTGTCAATCTTCCCACTGACTCACAAAAGGAAGGAGGCATTATTTTACCTATGTAAGAAATAAGGAAACTGAAGTTTTTAAGGTCATGAAGCTAGTCATTGGCAAACCAACACACACCTGCTCCTCTGCCTCTTCCCCCCCCCACCCCACCCCAGTATTTCTCAAGCTCAGTGACAAGTTTTCTGCAGGAAGTGGGAGGGAGACACACCGAAGAGCTTGCTGTTCTTGCTCTAGGAAAGGTCAGCCTTCAGCCTGGGCAATAGAGCGAGATCCTGTCTCAATATAAAATAAAAAAAAAATCAACTGGGTGTGGTGGCACACACCTGTAGTCTCACGTACTGGGCCGGCTGAGGTGGGAGGATGGCTCGAGCCCAGAAGTTCGAGGCTGCAGTGAGCTATGATTGTGCCACTGCACTCCAGCCTGAGTGCAGCCTGAGAGCAAGACCCTATTTCTAAAAAAGAAAAAAAAAATAGCCAGCCTTTACTAAAAAGGCTCTTAAGTTTTACTATCAGAATATCAGAAAAAGGATTAAAACACTGTAGAAGTTATCCAATTCTGTATAAACTTTGATAACACCGTTATCAACTATATATAGTTATATTTTTTTAATAAGTGAAGAGGTTTTTTGACCTTAAACGTTTGGTTGAGTTGGTAACTAAAAGGAGACTTGTTCATACTGTTCCTCCGCAAAAATCTGTTGATACTACTGTTATTTTTTTTCTAGTTTATTTATTT